AAAAGTGAGACCCTGTTTAAAAAAAAAAAAAAAAAAAAAAAAAAAAGTGCTCCATTGGAGAAAAACAATATAACGGCAGTGATGGACTAATTCTTGGTTGAGTGTGGGTCTGGCAGGTGTTCATTATTAGATAAAATAAAGTAGAAAAGGCAAGCATGCATGGACCAATAATGACAGAGTGCTGTAAGTCAAAACTTTTTTATTACTTGCATTCTGTGTACTTGAACTCTATTAAGAAGAAACAGAACCGTGAGGGCCTTGCCAAGACTTCCCTAACCCCACAGCCGGGCAGCGCAGCGGGCAGCGAGGCTTCTTCGCACACTCTTGGCCCTGATGGAGCAGGCGCCACTTCCAGAGGCTTCTAAGATCAGGGGAGGAGTCCAAAACCCTGGCTGGGAACCCGAGGCAAGAAACAAAAAGGTGTCACTAAGGCTGCTTGGGGGTAGTTTTTCATTTGTTTAGTTTTTAATGTGGTTCCAAATGTGACTCATTTAACTCTAGGGAAAAATAAAGAAAACAGAAGGAAGGGAGGGAGAGGGGGAGGAAAAAAGAGAAAGAGAGAAAAAAAAATGACTATTGCAAAGTAAGTGATTACTGTACGTGCCAGCCTTTTGTTTTAGGTCACGTTTGTATTGTGATGTGCTTTGCACCCTTTTCCATGTGACTCCTTACTGATATTTTCTTACAACTTTAAACAGCTCTCTGTTTCCACACAGCAGCATAGAAAGGGATTTTGATTGGAAGATAGCATAAAAAGACAGTAGGGAGTGATGGTGCATGCTGTGACCCCAGTAGGGTCAGTAGGATTGTTGAGTTTGGGGCCAGTGTGAGTACCTGTCTCAAGAAAAGCAAAAAGAAAGGAAAAGGTAGTTTGGGAGGCTAGAATGTGCTTGCTTTTTAAAAAAAAAATTTTTTTTCAGGTACTGGGGATTGAACCTAGGACCTTGGCACTGAGCTACATCCCAGCCCTTTTGTATTTTTTTAAATTTTGAGGCAGGATCTCATTAAGTAACCCAGGCCGGGCTCAAACTTGTGATCCTCCTACCTTTGCCTGGGATAATATGTGTGCAGCCCCATGCCCAGCTCACATGGCTTTTAAAGCAAGTGTGCAGTATCCACCGTCAGACGAGGAGGCTTCACAGGGTCACTGGTGGTGTGGAAGGAACCAGACTTAAGAATGGAAGGAAGGCAAACCCCTTCTGTGAGTCTCCACCGTGCTTGCAACTAGCTGCAGTCAAAAACCTGCTTCCTCATCTGCTGAGCTTGGAACCAAGCCAAGACCTCATGCCCTACCTCAGGTCAGTGTGTGAGTGACAGAGGACAGCCAGTGCTGGAGGGGACAAGTGGCCATGCATCGGCACGGTGTGCGTGCCTCCACTTTCTAGCACTCGGAACGTGGACCTGCTGCTTGTAACGTGCATAGAGTTTAGAGTTCTCATACTTTTGCATTTGTCACAGAAATCCTGCAATCTTAGCTGATATGTTTGATGTCAAGTCCCTAATCAGAAATGCAACTCCAAATTTGCAACTTGGATCTCATGATAAGAAAGAGAATCCATTTTGCTTTACGATGATCCAATTTATGTGGAGTTTTCTGGGAAAATGGTGTGGCGGTGACTGAGGATCGTATCACTGAAATATTGATTATATTGTCAGTGAAGAGCAAGCATGGAATACACATTTGGGCTTCACTTTACACTGCAGATGTTTCCGGCAACTCGGCCCCATTACCTCACGTGACCATTTCCAAGGCTCTATCTTCACTTCTGCTTGATCACTCTTTGAGGGAGGCACTCCCAAAATGTCAGCTCTCAGTTTCTCTGCCCTTCAGCTTCTCTGACAAAGTTAACAGTCTACAGACAAATCCTTCAGTGTCCTCAGGAATCCGCACACCAGCCTTTTTAGAGGTTAGTGAACCCCTAGGTGCCCAGGCTGTCCTACATGGGGAAAAAGCATCCCCACACAATCTTTCTCTCTTATTTTTTCAAGAAGAGTAGGAGGAAGATCTAAAATAGTTAGGTCTGGCAGCTTAATCTGGGTTGGCTGCCTCTGCCAGCAATCTGTAAAAATGTGTTTTTCAAGGATAAGAAGTTTGGGCCTTAGGCCAAGCTCATGTCTGTCACCAGCAAGAAGATAAAGGATCCCTTTAACCCACCACTGCACTGTTCACCTCTGCTTAAACAGGAGCACCCTGGGCTGGGCCGGGCTACCCCCCGGGCTACCCTGAGTTGATCCTCTTTCCCTGTAGGGCCTCCTGAGTCTGCCCTTGGCTGAACACAGCAGGGCCAGCCTCTTGTAAGGTGAAACTTCAAAGGCATCCGTTCCTGGTGTCAGTATTTAGTCTTTTCACATTGCCTAAGAGGCTCAGTCAGGATGGGGACTTCAAGTACTCTTGTTTTTAATGCCTGAAAAGGTCATTTCCTAAGAAGTCAGAAGGATATAGACATGTCTAAGGGTACCTGTGGCTGCCAAGCACTGAGAATCTCTGGACAGGAACTCTCAGTAGAGTCAGGCATGGTGGTGTACAGCTGTAATCCTAGCTTTTGCAAGGCTGAGGCAGGAGGATCACTGCGAGATGGAGGCCAGTGTGGGCTACAGAGTCAATTCAAGGCCAATCTGAACTACATAGCAAGAACTTATCTCAAAACAACAATAGGAAACAACAAAAACCTGCCACTTATTCATGCAGAGCTTCATTTTAGTCAGAGCCAAAATACTCTGGATGTCCTTAAGGAAATGTCCGTTAAGCCATGTTTCCTGTTTCCTGTAGAGCACAGCTTGATCTCATCTCTGCCCCCCAGGAAAGCTATTTCCTCAGCAGTGGAAAAGCAGGTGTTCCTAACTCCTTGGGCCATTGCATAAGGCAAACTCTTCAGGGGAGCTGAGCACAGGCTAGGCTTGTTCTCCTGGCCCCACCCAGGCTTGAAGACAGGCCCAGCTGAGAGAGAAGTCACCTCCCCAAACCTGCCTCTCCACTGGGGTACCAGGATCTTAGGAAGATGGCCCTGTAGCTGGGGTGGGCAAGAAGAATAAGAGAAGCCACAGAATCATAGTGGCACAATCTTCTTAATTCTACCTGAAGATTTGGACAAGAAAGCCGTAGCTTTGAGCTTGTAAGTACAATGAGCCTTTCTCTTCTGAGTTTGGGTCCTGCTAAGTCCACATTGCTCATGACCCAGGCGATGCCAGTCATCCCTGCTGCCTTATAGCCATCATTCAGGTAATCTTTTGCTCCTGGGCTCCCTCCCCAGAGCTCTAGGCTGGCCAGGAGGAACGCCTGGAGCTCTGATGGGTCATCAGGGGTGGTAGGGAAAGGCCCCACCCTTCTGGGGTGACCTTGCAGCAGTGGTAGGACGCGACATGGGTTAGGGTAAGAGCAGGTCTACAGGGCAGTCTGTCACCCCGGTCACTGTGCCTTCCCCAGGCTCCATCTCTCCACCTGCCCAGCTAGAGGAGATGAGGATATGACCAGAAGTCTCTGTGGACTCCGTGTGTCTGTGGCTGCTTCACCCAGATCCCTGCAGAGCCTGGTGCTCTCCAGTCCACAGTACAGGCTTGGGGCAGAGGTGAGGAATTGGGCCTGGTCAGGTTCCTCCTGACTCCGGGAGCCAAAGGTAGCCATCGAGGGGCGGGGCTTTATATTCCACTTGGCAAGCAGAAAGTAGAGGAGTAACGCTTTGGCAGTGTTGGTCCTGGAACCCTGTCACCTGGACACGCCAAGCAAGCCAGGTGGAGTTCAGGCATGTTCTCACCAGAAGAGCCAAAGTGGGCTCTGGCTGCGGCAAAGGTGCTGAAGATTTGCTCCTTCTTTGTTTTGTTTCAGGGCGGTGAGCACTGCAGCCAAGCCCAGCGCCTCAGCTGGGAACCCTCGCTTCCTATTCATGGCTTGGGCAGCACCTGAAAGGAACATTACTTCACCAAGCAGCCAGCCTGGGCTCTCTGTGGGAAATTTCACACACGCAGGCACGCACTCACTCTGCACCAGAGAACACGCATAGCTTTTTGGCACAAATGTGAACCTTAAGTCGCTCCTGCCTCTTAAATGCACTGCATCTTTCTCTCATGTGCAGCGCTACTTGTAAGACCAACAGCTGTTTTTCTGATGATTCCTGCCCATTTGGGAGATTTAACTCTATGGCCTCCTTCTGCCCTTTGCCGGCCTCCATGACAGCTGAAGAGCAGAGCCTTGCAATTACGAGGCCCTGAGCAGATTCGCAAGGGCAGAAAGTGCATGCTGTGGGGCTTCCATCACCAAAACAAGGCCTCGCCATGAGTTCAGGTACATTTTTCTCAACTTTTTTTTTTTTGAAGGTACTAATGATTGAACTCGGCCTTTGTATTCTGCTACATCCCCAGTCCCTTTTTTTTTTTGGTTGAGAGGCGTCTCCCTAAGTCATTACATGGTCCAGGCTGGGCACGAACTTGGGTTCCTATTTCAGCCCCTCCAGAGTACTGGGATTCCAAGCGTGTGAGTCACCACCATCCCAGCTTTCAGCCAACTCGCCTCAATTCTCTTACTTAGAGCTCATCTATGTCACTGAGTGGTGATGCCGAGTCACGTGGGGTTAGAAACCAGTGCCAGCATGCTGACACCGTGGCTACTGCTATTTCTGGTAGTAACAGACTGTTCTCTGACTCAGGAGTCTCATGTCTTCTACCAGCATCTGTGAAACTGGTAGGTCAACTGCTTCTCCCACCCACAAGTCAGATATGGAGCAGCCTGGGAGCCCCTTGAGCACAGCAGCTCTAGGACCTGCTCAGACAGCAGGGTGACAGTGGCAGTGGTGGCCAGCAATGCTGTCCTCCAGGCTTCTGCTCAAACGTCATCTTGCCAGAGTGGTCTCCCCTGGCCATCCCATCCCCCAGGACATCTGTGCCTTTGGAGGCTGTCACCTCTGTGCCTTTATCTTGATTTTCTGTCCTTCACACTTATACCATGTGTCATTTCCTGTATTTATTTGTTGTCTGCATTCCCCTACATGACTGCAGATTCTGTCCAAGAAGGGGATTCAGTTTGTAGCTATGATACTGCCACTAAGGACAGTGCCCTGCACAGGAGGTGAGGCTGTCAGACCAGAAAGTTCTCTGGGTCCCTTCCAAGTCCTCTCACCCAGGTAACCACTGTTCTGATGTCTAGGATTATCTTTGCTGATTCCTGAACTTCATATAAATAGGATGTGTTCATATGAACATACTGAGCGGATGTGCTTGTCTGTGTCTTTGCATTGCTGTGTGTCTCAGGAGCAGCTTGCTCTTCTTTTATAGCTGTAATATTCCACTCATGGATATATCTCCATTTATGGGTATACCATACTTTGTTTACAATTCTTCTGTTGATGAGCATTTGTGTGGTTTGGAATAAAGTTGCAATGAATTTTGTTATTGTTTTTGCAGTACTGGGTATTGAACCCAGAGCCTTCTCATTGAGTTATATCTCCAGGCCCTTTTAACTTTTGGATATTGAGACACTCTCACTAAATCATTGTTATGGCTATCTAGATGTCTCACCAAAGCCTCTTGTGATCATAGGTGGGGCTTTCCAGAAGTGGCTGGATTAAGGGTGTGATACTGGGATTATGGGTATGTGGAACTGGATTAGTTCTCTAATTGGTTTATCATAGTTCTGGTTTCGGTAATGGGAAGCTCCACCCTTTGTGTAGGTGGCAACACCCAAAAGGCTTATAGTTTGGATGGGATAAAAGGAGAAAGGGAAGGCAAGCTTGCTGCTGCTGCTGGCTGCTTCCTACTACCCTGCCTTGGACTGTTGCTCCTCTCCCATGCCACCCTACCTTGGAGCCAGCCGCATATATACTGAAACCTCTACAAACTGTGAGCTGAAATAAGCCTTTCCTCCTTTAACTTGTAGGTTCAGGTATATTTTCTCAGCAACAACTAAAGTAATTAAGGCAGTCACCAAATTGCCCAGGTTGGACTTGAATTTACACTCCTCCTGCCTCAAACCCCCAGAGTTCTGGGATTACTGACATGCACCACTAAGCCTGGCTACAGTGATCTTTCTTGTACACATATTTTTGTCCCTGCTTATTTTCTACAATTCCAGGGGCACAATGATGTGTGTGCCTATGTGTGATTAAAGGGAAACTTTGACAAGGCCCTGAGTGAGCTGATGGTCTGAGATATGCTGGAGGATTATCTTGACCGAGAAGCAAAGGATTGGAACTCAATTCCCAGGGACCCAGGGTGACATCACCTCACTCATGCTGCTCTCCTGGAGAAAAGGAGATTTGGGGGGAAAACACATGTCTTTGATGCACAATCATTTTTGTGCACCTAGCATGACTTTTACATCCTTGACAAGGAGCCAGGCTGGAGAATGGGCCAGAACCAGGATGTAAGTACACGGGAAAAACTGTGTGGCCCCATGTTAAGGAAATGTTTTAATTTCTGTGTAATCATACCCAGGCTCTAAAGCATATTTCACTGATTCCAATGAAAGAGGTGACCTCCTAGCTTCTGCTAAACAACTTCTCATCTGACAACCACACATCACCCTCACAGACCCTGTTTCCCTTCTAGCTCCTTCCCTAAATGTTTCTGACCTCCCAGGCCACTCTACTGGTTCAGAGGCTCCTAAGGCGAGGCTCCTTCTCAAGCCTTGCCTCAAGCTTCTTCCAGAAAAGAAAGGAAACCGTCAGTGATCAGGAGCGTGCTATGGCTGTGTGAACTGTGTGAGATCGTCTGCCTCCATCCCTTTATTTAGCCTTTGACGGATGAAGAAACAGAAGTGAAAAAAGGTTGATTTACTTAGAGTCATGCCTTTATAGTTACTTTCTTGTTTCTGGGACAAAATACCTGACACCCACATGTTAAAAGAGGAAAGGTTTATTTTACTACGAGGTTTCAGTCCATAGTTGGCTGACTCTAAGGCAGGGTGGCAGGGCAGAGGAGACACAGTCCATGGCAGGCATGGCAGTGAGCCTGCCTTCCATCTTTCCCTTTTTATTCCATGCAGGCTACAAACCTATTGGTTGGTGCCACCCACACACAGGGTGGGTCTTGCTTCTTTGGAAACTCCATCATCCACACCCAGAGCTATGCCAAACCAATCAGTGGACTGATCCACTATCACACATTCATGATCCAGTCACTCCCTGAAGCCCCACCTACGAGCGCATGAGACTTTGGATATAAGACAGGCCTTATCAGAGTGTGTCTGAGTTGCTGTCCACTGGGAAGGAGCTAAGGAGAGCAGCTCTGGCCAGGCTCACAGGGAGCTTCTGGAAACATCAGCTTCATCTCCCTCCCTCACGCAGAGCCCTGTGGTCCTTGGTAGCAGGTATACTCTAATTTGGTGCATCCTAATTTCTGAGGATAGCAAATCAGTCTCCTCTTCTGTCTGCATAGAACATTAAAGCCTTCAGAGAAACAGTCCTAGAAAAGTATCAGAAAGCAAGAAGCTTGTCCCCAGATGTGCCCTGTGTCACAGGCACCCTTTGCAACAGTCTGCAGTCAGGACAGGGTTCTCTGAGGCTGGGAGAAGCTGTGGAGAGGATCCAGCGAACAAGCTGCAGCAGATCATTCTGGGCTTCAGGAGGGGTCTGGGGACAAAGGTGATCAAGGCTTCCCTCCCCTGGCTTCTGCTCAATCTCAGAACACTTGGGTCAAGTCCTCTCTAAGGCACTGTGGGACTGTACCCTTCTTAAGGGGGTCCGAGGCACTGTGGATGGGAGACCTTCTTCTGGGATGTTCCCCCAGGAAGCTCCCCATCCCTGGAGAGGTTAGAAGAACTTCAGCCTCTCCCTTTGAGGGACAAAGAGCACCGGTGGTGGAGACACTGCGTGGCTGGGGAGTGTAGATTCCAGCTGCTACGCAGAGGGGAAGGGCCGAGTGGCTACAGCCAGGGAGAGGGGCTCCCAGGAGGCCTTGCGCCCAGCACCCCCACCTCGGGCGGGGCACCTGGAGCCCGATGCTGGCTGCTGGAAGCCATGCGCCGTTTCCCCCTCCACAGAAGGAAAAAGGCTCTGAATGCTGGCCTGTTGCCCAGAACGGAGGCTGCAGGGAAAATAGGGACAGCTGCTCACCCAGACCAGTGGGCTTGGCAAAAGCGGGTCGCGCAGTCACCAAGAAAGGGTCGGAGCCCAGCTCTGCTCCCCGAGGCCTGTCCTTTAGGTGGCCAGTCCACCCCGCCCCACCTTCAAGGTTCCGCCAACAAAGAGAGCTGGCCTGGCTTCCAGCGCACAGAAATCAGACCCAGGACCTCCAGTTGGGGAGTCGGCAGGGGTGACTCACAGAACTTTTGGCCCTGGCTCAGCTGCTCCGCCCATCCGGAGAGGCTGCGTGGCCATCTCAGCCCTCCTGGCTCCTGCTGGCCTTGGAGTGTGGTGGAAGAGTCTAGAACACACACGCCCTACATGTGCCCCAAGCCCTTGAGTCAGGATCCCACCTCCATACCTTTCACACACCCAGCAGCTCTAGGGAGAGACAGGTACTTGGGAAATATTTACAGCTTGGTTAATAACCGGCTCTGTCAGATCCCGTGATCTGGGGTCCGACAAACCAGGTTCCAATGTGGGCTGTCGCCTGCTGGCTGGGAGACTCAGAGGATGCCTGGGCCTCTCAAAGGCTCCACTTTCCCAGGTACAAAGTGTGGCTGACGCTTCACAGAGCCAGTGAAGGATTAAACAAAGCAACATATGGCAAGCAGGAGGGCATTGAAGGAGAGCTCCCTCCATCCAACCAACTGGAGACCCCATCACTCCCTCAGGGAGCGGAAGAGAAGCCAGCTGCACCTGTCAGGGCAGGGGCCTGTTGGTTTTAGGGTCACAGCTGTCACTGTCGGCGGGGAGCTGTGAGTGGCGCATCTGCTGGGCCCCACGTGCGTGCTGGGGAGAGGCCTTCTGCCTCACTGTTGCCCTGGCCTGGGGGCCATGTGTGCAGTGGCTGTTAACACCCAGGGTGGCATGAGCCTGGCTGCCACCTGCAGGAGAAGAGGAGAAAAGTGAGTGATGGGTCACCCCGGAAACTCCGCTTGGAATAAGTGAACCCCCCAGAGGGTTCCTGGGACGGAGTGGAGCCATTTAATGCATGTGGGCTTTCTGATGAGCAGGAATTTTAACAGCTGCTTGCCCCAAATCTAAACAAGCCCCACGATGATTCCTTCTCGTGGGTCCCTGGATTTCCATCATCTCAAGAGTAGCGGATGTGGGTATCACTAGGTCCCCTGAAGGGTTGCAGAGTGCAGTTCTGTACTCCTCATCATAAGTCCTGCAGCAACCGAGAAACATGTTCTTAGCCCCATTTTCTAGATCAACACATTGAGTCAAAGAGAGGTTGGGCCCCTTGCTGTAGCCTAGTCCTGTGTCTTGTCACTCCCCTCATCCACGAGACACAATACCCGTCACTCACACGCTCCTTAAAGGAGGAGAGGTTTACTCTGGCTCATGTTTTAGAGGTTTTTAGTCCTTGCGTGGCAGAAGGTAAGCTGTTCACAGCATGGCGGTGAGGAAGCAGAGGGAGGGAGGAGCCGGGGAGGGAGATAACCTCTTCCAGCTCTCCCAATCTCAGCTACCTGCCCCTTCCGACCAGAGCCCACCTTCCAACAGTAAGTCAGCTGTGCTGCCCCCATAATTCAGTCACCTTCCAAGACCCCTGCCTGAGTGCAGGAGGCCCTTGGGGAACAGCCAGCTGTAAACTGCAACGCTGGAAGGGCAGGAACCCATTCCCAAGGGAGACTCAGTGTTCTTCCCACTACAAACCAGAGAGGAGCAAGCCTTGTTGTTTGGTCTCAAACAAGGTATGATCAAAATACACAGAGAATGTTTACTTTCTTAAAAATGTCTTATAATAAAAGATGCACTGCCATTGATTCCTCAAAGTACTCCCCTCACTTCACACTCATCCCATTATTCTTGCAACTTCCTGCAGCGGTTCTGGAAGCCCTCTTTTGTGAGTGTCTTAGAGAGGAGCAAGCCTTGTTGTTTGGTCTCAAACAAGGTATGATCAAAATACACAGAGAATGTTTACTTTCTTAAAAATGTCTTATAATAAAAGATGCACTGCCATTGATTCCTCAAAGTACTCCCCTCACTTCACACTCATCCCATTATTCTTGCAACTTCCTGCAGCGGTTCTGGAAGCCCTCTTTTGTGAGTGTCTTTACAAGGTGTGGTTAATATATATATATATATATATATATACACACACACACACACACACACACACACACACACACACACAGAGAGTTGCTGCTG